GGGTCTTTCAGCTGCGTCCCTCCCCTCCCTCGCCGCGCCGGCGGGTCGGCCATCCGTGGCTTGCCGCCCGCCGGCTGCTGGCCGGTCAGCTGGCCGGTCAGCTGGTCGCCCGCGGCTGTCGGTGCAGTGCGGGATGCCTACTTGCGGGGGGGGGGGGGCCGTCGTGGCGGCGGCCCGGGTGGACTGGGCGAGCAGTGAGTTGGGGAGCGCTGCGCTGTCGGTGCTCTAGTTTGTATTGCGTTCGCATGATACGGCTTGAGCCAATACAGAGTGAACTGATTGAGCTGAGCAAGTCTTTACATACATTGAAAAGTAAAGCACTTTTTACTGCATCTACGGTGAGATGCTAGATAAAATTTATGGTCTACCTAATGGTACCCATTACTTAACAATTAAGTGAATCATTTCGTCGCTAAACTCTCGTAAATTCGTATGTCCGCCTCACTATGGAGTTTGGACCGTAACGTATGGCCTTTGCTCAGACAGTATACGAACAGGTGACGGGGATACCTCTAATAGAAGGATGCGACACGATTTTACTGCTAAATAGCGGCCGGCCGCCGTGGGGACGTTTTTGTACGACTTATATCTCGGCAACCACTGGGCTGATACACGTGCGGTTTTTTTGTGTGGGGTAGCTTTTTCCCTTCTTTCACATAGTGTGCTACTCTCGATGCATATGGGTGACCCCTAACGCACGTTCCACGTGCAAAGCCAAGAGGTGCCTGTTTTGTAATAAGCGCAATAGCTCGCGGTAATTACTGGGCCGATTGCGCTAAAACTTGGCATGGAGGTAGACACTTTCCAGGCGATGCATTTCCATGTGTCTTGGTAGGGGTGCAACTGCACGTGCGCACGTGCAGGGTGACGCTTCCAGATCTCGAGAACGGCTGGACCGATTGTGTTCAAATTTGGCATAACGCTTGATACCGATCAGTAGGTTGCAGTCATTTAGTATGTATTTCCATGTGCCACGATTGGGGTGCAACTGCACGTGCGCACGTGCAGGGTGACGCTTCCAGATCTCGAGAACGGCCGGGCCGATTGAGTTCAAATTTGGTACACCGCTAGAGACCGATTAGTAGGGTGCCGTGCGCAAGTCAGTTTGGACCCATCTTGCACGTGCGCACGTGCAGGGTGACGCTTCCAGATTTCAAGAACGGCTGGACCGATTGCACTCAAATTCGGCAAACATCTAGAGATCGATCAGTAGGGTGCCGTGCACAAGTCAGTTAGTATGTATTTCCATGTGTCACGGTTGAGATGCAACTGCACGTGCGCACGTGGAGGGGTCGTTTCAAGATCTTGAAAACGGCTGGGCCGATTGAGCTCGAATTTGGTACACCGCTAGGGACCGGCGAATAGGGTCCCATGCACAATGCAATTGGACACAGCTTGCACGTGCGCACGTGCAGGGTGACGCTTCCAGATCTCGAAAATGGCCGAGCCGATTACACTCAAATTTGGCACACCGCTATAGATCAGCGAGTAGGGTGCCGTGCACGTCAGTTTGTAACACACCGACTCCGGTCTGCACGTGCAAGGCTCATCCTCTCGTTTGGCGGCGGGCGTTTTTGCTGCGTTTACAAAGGTGCTTGCTCAAACAACCTGCGGTCCCGCGATGCGGAGCCCAGCATCGCAGATGCTGGTAACCGCAGGTTGTTTGAAAAGATGAAAAGACAAACACTATTCGTTAGAATTGTGTTTTTCTATTGAAAAACAACCGGAGCGGTCCTTCTCCGGGCTATGTTTTGCATGTCTGGCCGCGAATTGGGGCAACTTGGGTCAGGCCTAAACTTGTGGCTCGATTTTCTTAAAAATTTCAGTGTATGGGCTCCCGCAGGCGATCTACCTGTTGGCACCGGTCGCTACTCGCTTAAAACCTCGTGGCACGTGGCACGTGCGATTCCATTTTCCCCATGTTAAGTCAACGGGGTTTTGGACACTTTTTGCGCGATCGGGAATAGCGGAAAAACGAGCCAAGGAAGAGGTGGTTTTCTTCCCAGCATTTTATGGCAAACACGTTTGGGTACACGCTGGTGTGCGCCGTATACCCCTCAGAACTTCGTAACGTGTCTTTGCACGAGGTCAAAGTTGAATTTTTTTCGCTCCCCATGTTAAGTCAATGGGCGTTTTTGCAGAGACTTTTTCATTCGCTCATTGTACAAAATTATATGATACGATTTTGTTTAAACTTTCAGGACTTGTTGAGAAAAGACCATAGAACATGGTGTTATGCTTCGTTAAGCTGTCAGAATTCGTTTGCTCTTTTGAAGCTCGTTTAAAAATGAAAAATTTTAACTTTGAAAGTCAATGGGAGCGTCTTTGATGCTTAATAACTTTTTACGTTTAAGATATGTTTAAGTCAAAAGTTGATATTTTATACAACTTTTGATGCTCTTTCCAATGATATATAGAACGTTATTGCACGTTGTTCCGTTTTCCTGGTGTTGTCCATCTGAACTTGTCAGTCACGTGACCCATTTGACCTTCGGATCCAATTCTGGTAGTCAATTCTGGCGCTTTTGTTACCATAGCGAAATATGTAACGCCGTGTTCACAGTTTACTGACGACGAAGGTCCTGCTTAATCTGGCAAATAGCGTTCGAGAACTGCGGCCAAGCCCCGCTGATCTTGAACGTGATTGGTCGGTGGGCGTAAAGAATCTCCGTCGTCAGGGAGACTGCGAACACGGGGTAAACCAAGGAGTAAACAATCTGTGCGTGGAATGGGGAGTGGTGAATGTGGAACGGCGATGATAGGTGCTGATGTCGTCGATTTTTATTTATACTGTTATCCTTATTATACATTCTGATCATTTTTTATGTTCAGGAGTTTTCTCTGTTGATTTAACATCAAAAACGGTGTGTTTAACTGTTATTGCCAAGTGCCATATTGATATTGAAATTGGGGTACAATTCAACATTCTGATTCACTGGTTTTCTATGGCCTGTTGTGTATCATATTATTGGTAATGTGAATATAGGTACTCCAAACGGCAAACACTGCTATTTTCTGGTATATATTAATGTTTGACCTGATTTTATATTATTGGTAATGTGAATATAGGTACTCCAAACACTGCTATTTTCGGGTATATATTAATGTTTGACCTGATTTTACTTCACTTCACCTTATATTTTTTGCAGGAACAGTTATCACAGCATTATTGTGCAAAAATAAGGGTGGTGTATCACAGCATATCACAGCACTCTGCCAGCCGCTTTTGGCTTCCATAGAGACATCAACAAGCCTATACCTCCAACACTACCGGAGGTTGACGCTAGCTCACGCGGAATGCGCTGGCAGCGGCTGGCAGCGCGCCCATGAAACACAGCCAGGGGTTTCTTCTGTAAAGTCATTGTTGTCTAGGTACATGGGCCTTTACCAATTGTTAACAGCTATAAAAATTGGAATTAAAAATGTTCAGGTATTATGAGCATCAGCTAAACAGGGAAGAGGATTCGGCTTCAGCCCATCTTGCAACGCCTCAATGAAATTTAACGAGAAACTTAAATTGAGGGAGCAGCTACTCAACTGTGGTAAAGCCCATAAATCCTTGTGGATTTACCTACATACCTGAGGTAAATCCACAAGGCACCTTGAGTTCAAAATATGAAGTGACAACAAGCGAAATATAGCAGAAATTGGGACTTAAAGGAGCTTAGAAATAATCTGCTTAGTTCATTTGAAATGTATTGTTACCCACTTTCTAACCATGCATATTTTTGTGTCTTGTGAGGTCTCATATAGCAATAAAAATAGAAAAGTTATACAAGAGCAGTGACATGCATAGTTTGCTTGTGTTGTCACAACTTTGTACAATATTTCCAGCTTTATAATATGCAGTTATCAGTCACATTGGGCATCACACATGTATTTTTTTTTCTGCAGGAGGGAAGACACAGGAGGGAACTAGTGACTCATGTTTTTGCTTCTATCGCTTCACCCCTGGGGAATCAGTTCCTGCACCCCTTGAATATAATGGTCACCAAGGGGTGCTGTCCTGACACGTTCACTTTCTGTTGAGAAGGTTAGAACAAACACCATGTGTGTCATTTAGTTGCATATATAATACTTCAATGTTAAGTCTGCATGAAGTCTGAAGTCTAGCCACTCTTAATCCTAGGTTGTCGTGACGTTAATCTAGCCTGGGTGGATATTTTGCTGTGCTAAAAGCACGGACTCCGCTACGCCCCAGTACGGCGGCTGGGGCGCCTCCCCTGGAGGAAAACGGCGCCGGGGAGGGGGACGGACACTGTTACACTTGCGGTTTTTTGTGTGGGGTAGCGTATACTCTTCTTACAAGTATTTACTATGGACAATGCTTGCGGGTGACCTCCACTGCACGTGACACGTGTAAAACGGAGAGGTGTCACTTTTGTTACGGAGCGAGCGAAGCGAGCGAAGTCTTTCCTTAGATTAACGGAAATTTCTGAGTATGAGCGGCCGGCCGGCCGGCCGGCCGGCCGTGCGGACGCTTTTGCGAGGCTTATAGGCGGCGTGATGCCCCAAAACGGATATTGCGGCGCCGTCGATTGACGCACGAGGGTGAAATTTTCACGACTCGTGGGTCATGTAATTCAACAGGTCGTATTAGCTTTTGGGCACGATTCGGCCGGGGGTGCGCCCGTGGCGCGTGCTCATGTGCGCCATAGGGTTAACATTAAAAACGGCAAAAACAGGCTATTGCTCCAGATGGTCCGACCACTACAACCCCATATGATGCACTCTTGGCTGCATCCCCACCCCACCCTTTCCCCTTACAGTATGAAGTATGAAAAACAGTGATTTTTTACTGGAGCTGCAAAGTGTGCCTTTGAACCACCTTATGATTTACTAGTATCTAATGTATTTGTCCATCAGGATCAGTTATCTAATGGCAGTAGACTGTTGTCTTCACATACTTCATATCTATTTTGGCTACTGCATTGTGTTCTGTAAAAAAAAAATATGGAAAACGTTTTGGATGTAGTTTTTAGTAGAATGCTTCTTTACAGATCCCGAAAGAAGATAACTGCTTGTTTTCTTCACCGCCACCAGTCTACCTGCTCTCTGCACACTCGGCAGAGCGCGGCAGGGCACCCCACGGAGCTGCACTAGTCACATCCGGGCCCCACGCCGGTCGACGGCCGATGCGATGGAGGCACTACTCCGAGGCACTACTGGGAGGCCTGCGGCGCGGACGACGGATGCGGCAGTTGGTCAAGACACGGCAGCCTACTCGAGGTGCTTCTCGCCTGGAGGACGCAGGCGAATCGCGTTATCCTAGCTGTGCCTCGTCATGGTGCGATGAGCCTTAATAGACTAATGCATATTCTTCCTTTGGTTGTAATTCATTTGCTGCTGCCCGCTGGGCTAAGGAGTAACTCTGTGCGCCTACTTTGTGCAGACGCTCGTCCAGTGCCGCCCTTCGTTTGCCGCACATATCTTTATTTATTCTTTGTTACAATTCCGTCTTTGGTCATTTTTTTTTTACCATGGGGGCACTTGAAAGTTTTGTTTTTAAATCTGTGGACATTGAACCTGGAATCGGTTTTTTGTCGGATTTCGGTTTTGTTTTTGCACTGTGGAAATATCTCGTTCAATATTTTTTTAAGATAGGGCGTGTTAAAACTTTTAGTCTCATTACTCCTCTGTGCATTCTAAAGTACTATAATGTGCATCTCAAGTGTTTGGTGCTGTACTGTTATTATTTATGGTTAATCCAGTGCTGATTTATGGTTAATCCAGTTTTTATTCGATTGAATCGTTGTGTGTAATGTGCATGACATCCGCGTACCGCCTGTAGCAGTGTTATATATTTTCATTTATGCTGGAAAATAATAACTTTCTTGTTCATTGGCTTTATTCGATGACAGAGACGTGCCAGATGACTGGGGCTGCGACTTGACTTGGTAGTTGTTAACGGTGCAAACTTCAACCATCAAGCATGATGTGGAAACGTCACATTCCGTTATCAAATCTTCGTACCGTAAATACTGAATAAGATCAATACTAGGCTGGAGCTTGCTAGAAAAACCGTGCACTGACAACGGCGAGTGGTGGACCTGAGTAGCGGCCGGGAGGCAGGGAAGTCAGCCAATTGTCAGATGTCTATTTCTTCACACATCTTTATTCTTTACTTTACACCGTCATAGACGTAATGCAATTATCGGAGCATGAAGTGGTGTATTGCCCTTATTACACCCTTCCAGTAAGTATCCAATGCCCATCCATCCACTTTCCGCAGGTGCAGGAGCAAGGGAGAGCGAAATAATTTTTATCGTCACTCACCTCACGCCCAACTGCTAGGCGAAAAGCCAGTACTCGCAATGTTTCAATCTTATTTAAGAAAAAAAGCAAATGTATCGGCTATAAATGCGTCGTGTTCCCTGCGGTAATACTATTAGTTTAACCCGGCACCGCCTGGGCTATTTCCGTACCCACGACAGCCTGGGGGGGGGGGTCGCATCCGACCCCCCCCCCCCCCCTGTGTGGCCGCTGGACCCAGGACACCAGGTGTCTCAACCGCGAAAGGTACGAAAACGTATTTCTTACGGAGAGCGGCATATCGGACGCGCTTGCGTTCTTCCGCAAAGCGAGCGGCGCTACCAGGGCTCAAGGCAGAGCTGATGACAGCAGTTGCAGAGAAGCGGTGTCGCAGCAGGTGGCGTCCCATATCAGGCTCATTCCTCGGCTGAAAGGGAAGAGCGTTATCCCATCGGGACGTCGGCCGTCACCTCTGTCAAGGCCGGTGGGCTCTAAAACACTCTCGAGCCCTGTGCTGCTCTCGCCCGCACATGGGGGGGGGGGGGGTGGTTGCCACCCATCCCCCCAGGTAGTCTTTCTGCTCTGCACTCAACATTTTTAGAGCTAGAAGGCCGATTTTTCGTATAGCTGCTCCTCTATCCTTTCTTGATGTCCACTGAAAATTTCAAGTTTGTGATTTTTGGTTTCGGAGATATGACCTTGTTTTTGAGGTCATGTCATGACCCAAATGGCCAATTCTCAACATCTTGCGTTTGCCATGGGCCTTGTGAGCTTTTGACACCCTGATTTCGGCCTTTTTTGCCAGTCTTACCTCCCACCTATCATGGAACATGTTGTTCGACGATGTACAGGGGTCAAGGTCAGGGTCAAGGTCAACCTAGGTCATCTAAGATAATTGCTTTTTAGGCAAGCCGAATTTACTTTTTGTGAAGTTTTTTGATTGCATTTTTGGTAAAAGCTTCTCAGATCATGATTTCATGTAATATGGACCCAAAAACAATCGGTGCACACATCAGTATTCAGTATACACACAGACACACACAGACATACAAACACATAATTGACCTTGACCTAACTTGACCTGAAATGACCTCAGCCAGGGGCGGATCCAGAAAATCTCCAAGGGAGGGGCCATTAGAAACCAGGAGGCCCCCATAATCCCACCTGTTGGAGGCCCCATCTTCCCACTTGTTGGGCCCCCCCCCCAAAAAAAACTGCGTCTATTGAGCTTATCTAGCTGTTCAGGCAACATCTCAACATGAATAGCCACTTCATTTTCAGGAGGCCCCCTTTTCAGCTTTTTAACTTTTTATTCTATTTTTGAAAAAAATCGGCCAAGGGGGGGGGGGCCATGGCCCCCATGGCCCCCCCCTTGTATCCGCGCCTGACCTCAGCAGCAAAATTCTGGTCGGGTAGTGTGACAAAGAGGTTCTAGCTGGCTTGGCACCAGAAAACAGCATCGTCATCGGTATTTGATAAGCAGCGCACTTGATATCCAACGGTGACCCAAAACAGCAACATTTTTTAGTTTGACCTGACCTGGAAGGTCAATGACTGACCTGAGAAGGTAAAACTGGGTATCATTGGATTTGTCTCTTCCCAAAGAATCTTTTTTGTCTTTACCGCTAAGCTCTATCTCCAACAGGAACGAAATGGCGCGGGGGGGGGGGGTGGCAACCACCCCCGCATGTGCGTTCTAGGATGGGAAAATGGCATGTGCGGGCGAGGGTTAAGGTTGGCGTGACGTGCGTGGCGGCCAGCACTCTTGGCACAGGAGAGACCGTGGTAGCCCAGTCGATCAGCAGGACGACGGCAGAGCTGGCAGTTGTGCGGTTCACATACCGGTGCCCCGAGTCGCAGCGCCACTGCTACCCGGACGGTTTCGTCCTCCAGGTGGAGTCTCAGACTGGTGACTGGGAGGGCTTGCACCCAGGCGGCGGTGTGGGGCTCTGCAGCAGCAAGAAGACACACCCGGACCACCTGGTTTGCCCCATCCAGCAGACGCTGCTGAGACGTCTTAGAGAACGCCTCATCCCAAGCGCGCTGCTTGCCCTCTTCTGACCATTAGTTATACCACGGATCACCTTATGTGACAACTTATAGGCCCGGGCAGTATGTGATCCGTGGTTATACCCAAGTTTATGTTAACTTATTTTTTTATGCGTATTTATACCTATGCCCATTTTATTTGCGATACGCTAGAGAAATCTTCGCATAGAAATGAGTATTGTATAAATTGTATTATACCTATAATGAGTATGAAAAATTTTCTAGCCTGAATCTTCAATATACTCATGTGTCTCGGTTGGGGTGCAACTGCACGTGCGCACGTGTATGGGTCGCTTCCAGATCTTGAAAACGGCTGGGCCGATTGAGCTTAAATTCGGTACACCGCTAGAGACCGGCAACTAGGGTGCCGTCCACAAGTCATTTGGGACCCAGCTTGCACGTGCGCACGTGCAGGGTGAGGCTTTCAGATCTCAGAAACGGCTGGGCTGATTGCATTCAAATTCGGCACACCTTTAGCGGCGTTACAGAGGTGCTTGCTCAAACAACCTGCGGTCCCGCGATGCGGAGCCCAGCATCGCAGATGCTGGTAACCGCAGGTTGTTTGAAAAGACAAACACTATTCGTTAGAATTGTGTTTTTCTATTGAAAAACAACCGGAGCGGTCCGTCTCCGGGCTATGTTTTGCATGTCTGGCCGCGAATTGGGGCAACTTGGGTCAGGCCTAAACTTGTGGCTCGATTTTCTTAAAAATTTCAGTGTATGGGCTCCCGCAGGCGATCTACCTGTTGGCACCGGTCGCTACTCGCTTAAAACCTCGTGGCACGTGGCACGTGCGATTCCATTTTCCCCATGTTAAGTCAACGGGGTTTTGGACACTTTTTGCGCGATCGGGAATAGCGGAAAAACGAGCCAAGGAAGAGGTGGTTTTCTTCCCAGCATTTTATGGCAAACACGTTTGGGTACACGCTGGTGTGCGCCGTATACCCCTCAGAACTTCGTAACGTGTCTTTGCACGAGGTCAAAGTTGAATTTTTTTCGCTCCCCATGTTAAGTCAATGGGCGTTTTTGCAGAGACTTTTTCATTCGCTCATTGTACAAAATTATATGATACGATTTTGTTTAAACTTTCAGGACTTGTTGAGAAAAGACCATAGAACATGGTGTTATGCTTCGTTAAGCTGTCAGAATTCGTTTGCTCTTTTGAAGCTCGTTTAAAAATGAAAAATTTTAACTTTGAAAGTCAATGGGAGCGTCTTTGATGCTTAATAACTTTTTACGTTTAAGATATGTTTAAGTCAAAAGTTGATATTTTATACAACTTTTGATGCTCTTTCCAATGATATATAGAACGTTATTGCACGTTGTTCCGTTTTCCTGGTGTTGTCCATCTGAACTTGTCAGTCACGTGACCCATTTGACCTTCGGATCCAATTCTGGTAGTCAATTCTGGCGCTTTTGTTACCATAGCGAAATATGTAACGCCGTGTTCACAGTTTACTGACGACGAAGGTCCTGCTTAATCTGGCAAATAGCGTTCGAGAACTGCGGCCAAGCCCCGCTGATCTTGAACGTGATTGGTCGGTGGGCGTAAAGAATCTCCGTCGTCAGGGAGACTGCGAACACGGGGTAAACCAAGGAGTAAACAATCTGTGCGTGGAATGGGGAGTGGTGAATGTGGAACGGCGATGATAGGTGCTGATGTCGTCGATTTTTATTTATACTGTTATCCTTATTATACATTCTGATCATTTTTTATGTTCAGGAGTTTTCTCTGTTGATTTAACATCAAAAACGGTGTGTTTAACTGTTATTGCCAAGTGCCATATTGATATTGAAATTGGGGTACAATTCAACATTCTGATTCACTGGTTTTCTATGGCCTGTTGTGTATCATATTATTGGTAATGTGAATATAGGTACTCCAAACGGCAAACACTGCTATTTTCTGGTATATATTAATGTTTGACCTGATTTTATATTATTGGTAATGTGAATATAGGTACTCCAAACACTGCTATTTTCGGGTATATATTAATGTTTGACCTGATTTTACTTCACTTCACCTTATATTTTTTGCAGGAACAGTTATCACAGCATTATTGTGCAAAAATAAGGGTGGTGTATCACAGCATATCACAGCACTCTGCCAGCCGCTTTTGGCTTCCATAGAGACATCAACAAGCCTATACCTCCAACACTACCGGAGGTTGACGCTAGCTCACGCGGAATGCGCTGGCAGCGGCTGGCAGCGCGCCCATGAAACACAGCCAGGGGTTTCTTCTGTAAAGTCATTGTTGTCTAGGTACATGGGCCTTTACCAATTGTTAACAGCTATAAAAATTGGAATTAAAAATGTTCAGGTATTATGAGCATCAGCTAAACAGGGAAGAGGATTCGGCTTCAGCCCATCTTGCAACGCCTCAATGAAATTTAACGAGAAACTTAAATTGAGGGAGCAGCTACTCAACTGTGGTAAAGCCCATAAATCCTTGTGGATTTACCTACATACCTGAGGTAAATCCACAAGGCACCTTGAGTTCAAAATATGAAGTGACAACAAGCGAAATATAGCAGAAATTGGGACTTAAAGGAGCTTAGAAATAATCTGCTTAGTTCATTTGAAATGTATTGTTACCCACTTTCTAACCATGCATATTTTTGTGTCTTGTGAGGTCTCATATAGCAATAAAAATAGAAAAGTTATACAAGAGCAGTGACATGCATAGTTTGCTTGTGTTGTCACAACTTTGTACAATATTTCCAGCTTTATAATATGCAGTTATCAGTCACATTGGGCATCACACATGTATTTTTTTTTCTGCAGGAGGGAAGACACAGGAGGGAACTAGTGACTCATGTTTTTGCTTCTATCGCTTCACCCCTGGGGAATCAGTTCCTGCACCCCTTGAATATAATGGTCACCAAGGGGTGCTGTCCTGACACGTTCACTTTCTGTTGAGAAGGTTAGAACAAACACCATGTGTGTCATTTAGTTGCATATATAATACTTCAATGTTAAGTCTGCATGAAGTCTGAAGTCTAGCCACTCTTAATCCTAGGTTGTCGTGACGTTAATCTAGCCTGGGTGGATATTTTGCTGTGCTAAAAGCACGGACTCCGCTACGCCCCAGTACGGCGGCTGGGGCGCCTCCCCTGGAGGAAAACGGCGCCGGGGAGGGGGACGGACACTGTTACACTTGCGGTTTTTTGTGTGGGGTAGCGTATACTCTTCTTACAAGTATTTACTATGGACAATGCTTGCGGGTGACCTCCACTGCACGTGACACGTGTAAAACGGAGAGGTGTCACTTTTGTTACGGAGCGAGCGAAGCGAGCGAAGTCTTTCCTTAGATTAACGGAAATTTCTGAGTATGAGCGGAAATGTATTGTTACCCACTTTCTAACCATGCATATTTTTGTGTCTTGTGAGGTCTCATATAGCAATAAAAATAGAAAAGTTATACAAGAGCAGTGACATGCATAGTTTGCTTGTGTTGTCACAACTTTGTACAATATTTCCAGCTTTATAATATGCAGTTATCAGTCACATTGGGCATCACACATGTATTTTTTTTTCTGCAGGAGGGAAGACACAGGAGGGAACTAGTGACTCATGTTTTTGCTTCTATCGCTTCACCCCTGGGGAATCAGTTCCTGCACCCCTTGAATATAATGGTCACCAAGGGGTGCTGTCCTGACACGTTCACTTTCTGTTGAGAAGGTTAGAACAAACACCATGTGTGTCATTTAGTTGCATAACCGCAGGTTGTTTGAAAAGACAAACACTATTCGTTAGAATTGTGTTTTTCTATTGAAAAACAACCGGAGCGGTCCTTCTCCGGGCTATGTTTGCAAAGTTGGCCTGAGATTGGGGCAACTTGGTCGCAGCCTAGAGTTTTGCGTTTAGGATCGTAAAAATTTCAGGGTATAGACTTTTGCAGGTGATCTACCTGATGGTACCGGTCGCTACTCGCAACAAAAATCATTGCGCGTGCCACGTGCAATTGCATTTTCCCCATGTTAAGTCAACGGGGTTTTGGACACTTTTTGCGCGATCGCCAATGGCGGGAAAACGAGCCAAGAAGGAGGTGGTTTTCTTCCCAGCATTTTATGGCAAACACGTTCTGGTACACGCCAGTGTGCGCCGTATACCCGTCAGAATTCGTTAACTTGAGTTGCACGAGTTTGAAGTTGAACTTTTTTCGCTCCCCATGTTAAGTCAATGGACGTTTTTGCAGAGGCATTTTCATTCGCTCATTGTACAAAATTATATGATACGATTTTGTTTAAACTTTCAGGACTTGTTGAGAAAAGACCATAGAATATGTTGTTATGCTTCGTTAAGCTGTCAGAATTCGTTTGTTCTTTTTGAGCTCGTTTAAAGAAGAATTTTTTTAACATGCAAAGTCAATGGGAGCGTCTTTGCTGCTTTATAACATTTTGCGTTATAGATATATTTAAGTGAAAAGTTGATAGGTTATACAACTTTTGATGCTCTTTCCAATGATATATAGAACGTTATTGCACGTTGTGCCGTTTTCCAGGTGTTGTCCATCTGAACTTGTCAGTCACGTGACCCATTTGACCTTCGGATCCGATTCTGGTAGTCAATTCTGGCGCTTTTGTTACCATAGCGAAATATGTAACGCCGTGTTCACAGTTTTCCTGACGACGAAGGTCCTGCTTAATCTGGCCAATGGCGTTCGAGAACTGCGGCCAAGCCCCGCTGATCTTGAACGTGATTGGTCGGTGGGCGTATAGAATCTCCGTCGTCAGGGAGACTGCGAACACGGGGTAAACCAAGGGGTAAACAATCTGTGCGTGGAATGGGGAGTGGTGAATGCGCAAGGGCGATGATAGGCGCTGATGTCGTCGATTTTTATTTATGCTATTATCCTTATACATTCTGATCATTTTTTATGTTCAGGAGTTTTCTCTGTTGATTTAACATAAAAAGCGGTGTGTTTAACTGTTATTGCCAAGTGCCATATTTATATTGAAATTGGGGTACAATTCAACATTCACTGGTTTTTCTATGGCCTGTTGTGCATCATATTATTGGAATGGTAATGTGAATATAGGTACTCCATACACTGCTACTTTTGGGTATATATAAATGTTTGACCTGATTTTACTTCACTTCACCTTATATTTTTTTGCAGGAACAGTTATCACACCATTATTGTGCAAAAAATAAGGGTGGTTTAACGCGGCACTCTGCCAGCCACTTTTGGCTTCCATAGACATCAACAAGCCTATGCCTCCAACACTACCAGAGGTTGACGCTAGCTCCACGGAATGTGCTGGCAGCTGCTGGCAGCGCGCCCATGAAACACAGCCAGGGGTTTCCTCTGTAAAGTCATTATTGTCTAGGTACATGAGCCTTTAGCAATTGTTAACAGCTATAAAAATTGGAATTAGAAATGTTCAGGTATTATCAGCATCAGCTAAACAGGGAAGAGAATTCGGCTACAGCCCATCTTGCAACGCCTCAATGAAATTTAACGAGAAACTTAAATTGAGGGAGCAGCTACATAACTGAGGTAAAGCCCATAAATCCTTGTGGATTTACCTACATACCTGAGGTAAATCCACAAGGCACCTTGAGTTCAAACTATGAAGTGACTCCAAGCGAAATATAGCAGAAATTGGGACTTAAACGAGCTTAGAAATAATCTGCTTAGTGCTGGATAAGTGTTTTCACTTTACCATATGTTGTTTTTTATTCAAAGTTATTGTATTGTTCATTATTGTAAAAGCCAAGCAACTTTTGCAACATTGAGGATCATACTTTAGCTTTGGAAACAAGACATAGGTATGTAGTTATGCTGATCTTCTTTTCCAGAGTCTTTGATTATCACTTAATTTCATTCACTTTTGATGTAGTGAAAATGTAGAATGAATTCACTGGAATTCACTGGGATTGTATTGTGTATGCAAGTCCAAATATTTCGGCCAATATTGTTTGGCCTTGGTCACTGGACAACTACAATAACCCTATAAGAATAGCTCACATTGCAGCGACATATTTTTGTGTCTTGTGGGGTCTCATATAGCAATAACAAGAGCAGTGACATGCATAGTTTGCTTGTGTTGTCACAACTTTGTACAATATTTCCAGCTTTATGATATGCAGTTATTAGTCACATTGGGCATCACGCATATATTTTTTCCTGCTGGAGGGAAGACACAGGAGGGATCCAGTGACTCATGTTTTTGCTTCTATCGCTTCACCCCTGGGGAATCAGTTCCTACACCCCTTGAGTATAATGGTCACCAAGGGGTGCTGTCCTGACACGTCCACTTTCTGTTGAGAAGGTTAGAACAAACACCATGTGTGTCATTTAGTTGCACATATAATACCTCAATGTTAAGTCTGCATAAAGTCTGAAGTCTGTAGCCACTCTTAATCCTAGGTTGTCGTGACTTTAATCTAGCCTGGGTGGATATTTTGCTGTGCTAAAAGCACGGACTGCGTTACGCCCCAGCACGGCGGCCGGGGCGCCTCCCCTGGAAGAAAACGGCACCGGCCTTTGAACCACCTTATGATATACTAGTATCTAAAGTATTTGTCCATCAGGATCAGTTATCTAATGGCAGTAGACTGTTGTCTTCACATACTTCATATCTATTTTGGCTACTGCATTGTGTTCTGTAAAAAAATATGAAAACGTTTTGGATGTAGTTTTTAGTGGAATGCTTCTTTACAGATCCCGAAAGAAGATAACAGCTTGTTTTCTTCACCGCCACCAGTCTACCTGCTCTCTGCACACTCGGCAGAGCGCGGCAGGGCACCCCACGGAGCTGCACTAGTCACATCCGGGCCCCACGCCGGTCGACGGCCGATGCGCCGCTGGGAGGCCTGCGGCGCGGACGACGGATGCGGCAGTTGGTCAAGACACGGCAGCCTACTCGAGGTGCTTCTCGCCTGGAGGACGCAGGCGAATCGCGTTATCCGAGCTGTGCCTCGTCATGGTGCGATGAGCCTTAATAGACTAATGCATATTCTTCCTTTGGCTGTAATTCATTTGCTGCTGCCCGCTGGGCTAAGGAGTAACTCTGGGCGCCTACTTTGGGCAGACGCTCGTCCAGTGCCGCTCTTCGTTTGCCGCACATATCTTTATTTATTCTTTGTTACAATTCCGTCTTTGGTCATTTTTTTTACCATGGGGGCACTTGAAAGTTTTGTTTTTAAATCTGTGGACATTGAACCTGGAATCGGTTTTATGTCGGATTTCGGTTTTGTTTTTGCACTGTGGAAATATCTCGTTCAATATTTTTAAAGGAAAAGGGCCACCTTTAACATGGGGATTGAAACTGAGATAGCCATCTTGTAGCCCGTGTCCGAAAACCTATTTGTCTACCTCCTTACGGCCGATTTCGGCCTCCATTCGTAGTTATCGGCAATTTTAAAAGAAAATACGCCAGGAATGCGTTCTTATCCCAGGAATGCGTTCTTATCCGACAATACAGCCACCCGCGGCGAGGCTTTGGTTTTTTACCAATCAGCTCCAACCAGCTCAGCTTTAACCAATCAGCTTATCTGACACAATCCGACGAGTCTGTCTTCTGAACGCTGATTGGTTTGAGTGTGACGTCATCGCTATGCCATCATACAGTAGGTGC